CTTCTATTCCTTGGAGAATATTCCTTCTAATTCCTTTTCTTCAAGATTGAATTCTTTGTCTTCTATATGTTATGTGGTTGTTGTTGTTATATTAGTTTGCATAGTTGCCATACTTCTCTTCTTGCTCATTCTTAGCATGGGTAGCACTGTCCTGACCTTTTATTTATTCTCATATATATTGAAACATTATCTTTGATTCCTTTTACATCTCATCTTAGGCCTGTTTTTCTTGCCCTCTGAGCTATAGTTTGAAACTTGCATATTATGTATGGAGGCGGAGGAGGGACAAGCTCCACTGGAGTTGTATACAGCCTTTGTTGGAAGAATTTGGCTCTGCTGCTCTTGAAAATTTGTTAAATATCCCCTGCCAAGAGTCTCCTGACCTAATATTGGTGTAGCTTTTTCCCATTTCAGGAACCTCTCCATTAATATTATTCCTCTAATTCTGGTTGGAGCCCTAGAACTTATACAGTTCATCAAAGACAGTCACCCTCAAGTGTTTATTTTTCATGTTTTTCCCATCTCCTGCCAGCAAACATTTCCAGTCCCTCAGCAGTCAAAAAAGAAGAAAGATAAACATATTCCTGTTTCTTTCAAAATGTGTGGGTATTTGTGAGAATTGGTGGGGTTTAGGCAATTCACTAGCACAACCTGCTAAGCATGAGGTTGGGGGTTGTGCAGAGGGACAGTTAGAAGCTGTGTTCAAATCTTATGCTTTATTTCCTTGATTGCTTCTTTTTGAAGTTTATACCATGAAGCTGTACTTTTTTCCTTGTTTGGATGCTGCTGGTCACATTTTTGCTAATTTTTTAAATGGATTGTGTTTTTGTTTACATTATTGGTTAGTTATTGATGAGGAAGGGCTGTGACCCAGTTCCTTTACTCAGAAGTCTGACCTTAGTTTCTTCCTTTTCCAGTTTACTTCTTAATCCTTTCCTTTCCAAACACCCCGCCTGTCCAGCATTTCAGTACTATCGTCTTTCCAGCCCCCACTAAAGCTCCCCTCCTGAGTGCAACAATGACTCTTCCTGACAATTTCATGTCTTCTCAGTTCTCACCCTGCCAATCCTGTCCTTGCGTCAATATTTTGTTTGTTTTGCCTCTTCTACCTCCTCCTTCCCACGACTGTGATAATTACTCATAAAATACTTGACAGAAATTGCCAGTCCTGTGTAATTAATTATCAAGCCAGTGTCAGTTTATCCAGTAGAATCTACATGCACCTGCTTTTTGTTGAATACTTTCACCAGGCCTAAAAAATAATTGCCAGATTAGCCATATGCCAAAATCAGTGTTAGTTTTTTTTTTTTCAATTGTAGTGCTTAATTTAGTGTTGTTATGCATTAATCAAAACAAGCTGTCTGGGACTGACCTGATTAACATATAGATTATTAGGAGAGTTGGAAATGAAAAAAAAATATTCTCAAGGAATGTATTTTCTGACTGGAGTGTGGACTCAAAATCATTACCAAGGAGCCAGATAAAATTTCATATCAATCAGCCCCCTCTCAAAACAGCAGTTTTTGTTTTGTTTTTCTTGGCTGCAGAGGTGACAAACTGGGACCCCTACTATCTTTGCTAGCTGGCTTTGTCAGTGATCTTAGAATCAGCCATGAAATTCTTGTTCAATTAAGATTTGTAAGTTGCTCTCACAAAACTGCCAACACACTGAAGGGAAGAGTGAAGACAGATGAAAGAATTGAAAAGAGGTGATAAGGAAAGGAATAATCATAAGACACATTTTTCTTTTTATTTCATTCCATTGTAGAGGGTGGGGAAAAGCTTCTGTTACAAGTCCACCCCAGGAGTATATGCTAATTTACAAAAAAAAAACAAACAAACAAACAGTAAAACTTGTGTTTCATGGCTGAAGATTGGGCCTACGAAGGGAGTAAGAAGGACCAATTGGGTGGATTCCACTGAGAGATGGTAGGTACAAGGACTGCCTGGAGGAGACCAAGTTCCTGTCTCTTACTTCGAACGGAGCACAGAACAGAAGATACCTACCCTGTAGAAAGACGTTCCCATAGCCTGTGGGAATCAAGACACTGTGTCTCAGAGATGCCCATAGTATTAGGTTTTTGTCACCCCTAGACCTGTCATCTCAGCATTAGTTGGCAACCTCCAGCTAACTGCTGTGTTGCCTGTAGGTCTCCCTGAGGCAGGAAGAGGCAAATAAATGCTCCAGAGTGGCCACCTGCTGGGAGGCAGTACGACCATCTTTCTTAAAAAAACCAAGCAGGGCTTCCTGGGGATCTCCTGCTCTTCTGCTATATTCACGCAGAATTCTGGACCGACCGCTGTGCTCTGAGTCCTGTAAAGAAGGATCTATCTGTAAATGGAAAATGCAAAAGGGCAGAAATAAGGTTAACTCTGAATTTCCTGCTTCTTATGCAATTAAATTCTCCCTCTTGCCATTGAGTTAATGTAATCTTTCTCCCACATAATTGAGCACAAATTACCAGCCAAATATGGGATAAATTGGTATGGGACATAAGGAGATGATGAAGTGAAATTAGTAAGAATTATAATTATAGTACTTGGATTTTTTAAGAATCAAAAATCCTATCTATAAGCCAATGAAAAAAGTAGTCTACAAAGTAATCTATTAATGTACGATTTGCAAAATAATGTATTAACATGTTTGATTGTGACAAATGACTTTCTAATTTAATTTTTTTACAAAATAATTTTTAAAATAATAAAAATAATGTCTTTAAGAACTTCAAAGCCAGGTGTGGTGGCTCATTCCTATAATCCTAGCACTGTGGGAAGCCAAGGACAGAGGATCACTTGAGTGAGCTCAGCCTGAGTTTGAGACCAGCCTGAGCAAGAGCAAGACCCTATCTACTAAAAGACTCCCCTCTACTAAAAATAGAAAAGAGACCCCATCTCTACTAAAAGTAGAAAAATTAGCCAGACACAGTGCCTGTACTCCCAACTACTCAGAAGGCTGAGGCAGGAGGATCGCTTGAGCCCAGGCATCTGCAGTTGCAGTGAGCTATGATGATATCACTACACTTCAGCCTGGATGATGACAGAGTGAGACTCTGTCTCAAAAAAACAAAAACAAAAACAAAAACACCTCAAGCAAAAATAATTCTTTGCATTCTAAATACTGCTCTTGTTTCCTTTGGTATTTCTCCATATATCCATCGCAAGTGCAAGGAAGGACTTCAGTTGTGAGGCATTAGTCAATTAGGTGTTGTCCTTCGCTCCATTTTTTTAACGTTCGTTTGTGATTCTTTGTATTGTTACAGTAGGTGAAGCAGCAATAAACAAAGTCTTAGGAGGAGAATAGAGGTTGCAAGAAATAAATCTTTCATCAATGTTCTTAGCAGGAAGACTTTGCCCCTGGAAGAAATGGCCTGTAACCACCCATAAACATGTAGAAATGAGATGGCTAGCTTTGTTACTGTAGTGATAGCTATACTTCAGTGTGATGATAGAAAAAGAGTACCTTGTCATATAAGTTGTTTGCAGATTTCTATTCCTCTGTAATTCTATCTGTTTTGTAATATGAAGATCTGTGCTGTTGCTTCCATCTCACACTCCCAAGTTAAATGGATCTCATCAGAGCCCTGTGCCAACTCTATGTTTGCAGGCTTGGTTCTGTTGGGAGGGCTTCAGTCTGGAGTGACTCTCATTTGTCATATTTGGGCTTACATTTTAACCTATTTTAAAACATTATTTTCATTTGAGCTTATATTTTAAAGGGCCCATTTAAAAATATTATATTTATTAAAAGAAAAACTTCAAGTATAAATCTTATTTGTTGTTCAATATCAAGTTCCAAGAAAGTTAAATTTTGTTCTTATTTGTCTCATGTTCTGTATTTATCCAAAATATATCTTATCAAGCTGTCAGATGAGGAAAGGTTGAAACACTAGGGTTACCCATTTAACTAATAAAAATACAGAACAAAAAAATACAGTTAAGCTCAAACTTCAGATAAACAATGAATAACTTTTTAGTGTAATTATGCCCCCAATTTTACTGGGTATCCTATATTTTATCTGACAATTCTAGTTAAGACCAAGTCAAGATTCCAGAAGTAGATGGGCTAGAATGATGGGTCACAATACTCAAGCTACAAATTAAATATAAAATGAACATTCATATTTGAAATTTTTAGGTCTTATGGTATTGTGGTTATGTTTTATGAGTCCTTATCTTTTAGAAATATTTACTAAAACCTTTTATTGATGAAATCATGTAATGTTTGCGATTTGCTTCTAAATAAGACAGGAGGCAGGGAAGTAGAGGGGCAGGATTGGCTGTGGGTTGATGAGTACATGAAGGTTAATTATACTATTTTGTCTCCTTCTGACTGTGCTTGAAATCTTCTAAAGTAAAGGAAAAAATGAGTGTGTATATGTGTGTAAGTCATGCATCATGTAACCATCTCAAATGTCCAGCAACTGAGGATTGTACAGCAGCATGAGAAGAGACTGCAGATAGAGGCAGGGGCTTGTGAGCCACAGTTGGACTTGGGGACATCTCTGTTCCTCCGATTGGCATATTTATCATCTTGATATTTGTCTTTATAAGTTCCATAGAGCAATGCAAGAAAGTTGCAAGTGAGTTGCTAGCCTCTAGGAGTTCAGATGGTTCAGTATGTAGCAGGGCTATCTAGGAAATGCTCCCACAGAGGGGGCCAAGGGTGAGTAGAGAGGGATAATGCTTCACGCCTTGGCCAGCCTTTTGAAAATGGCTAAACATGAAGTGAAATAAATAGGCTATTGGATTAGGTCAAAATATAATAATAAGCATTCCATTCTTCAGTTTTGTGGCTTTCACAAAATAAATCTCTTTAAAAGATTGGGTTGATTACTCTGTAAAATTAATACATTGAGTATATAGTCTAATAAGTTGGCATAGGTCTAGCTTTCCTAGCAGGTGAGCGGTCAGCAGCTGGGAATGCTCAGTGTCTGGCATGTTTCTAGGCAGAATTATTTATTGATGGACATCTTTAATGGTTTGCTTTTTTCTTATCCCAGGATTTCCTTCAAATGCTATTGGAGAACATCCCAGAAGAAAAAAGGTAATGACCAATTTAGGAATTAAGAGGCCAGTTTTACTTTTAATGTTAAAAATGATCCTGCCATTATTTGGCTTGTCACAACCTAGAAAGTTCAATCTTCTTCTCTTAATGGAGGTAGGGACCTAGTTCAGGCAGTGGGAGTCACAGCATAATCAGCCAGACTTAGGGATGGGCCGGAGTGGATGCTGGGAGCCAGCATGCACAGCCAAGTAGTACAAGCGAGGATCGCAGAGTCAGGAGCCCTGAAAGTGGTGTAGGAAGCAGGCTGAGGACAGTCTGTGGCCTTAGCTGCTGTGGAAAAGAATGAAGGAGAGGAAAGTTCTAAAAAGTTAGGGTGGCACCAGTTAATACAGCTTCATATAAGGAAACACTGTTTCAGCCAGACGCAGTGGCTCATGCCTGTAATGCTTGCACTCTGGGAGGCTGAGGTGGGCAGATCATTCAAGGTCGGGAGTTAGAAACCAGCCTGAGCAAGAGCGAGACCCTGTCTCTACTATAAATAGAAAGAAATTAATTGGCCAACTAAAAATATATATAGAAAAAATTAGCCGGTGTGGCGGCACATGCCTGTAGTCCCAGCTACTTGGGAGGCTGAGACAGAGGATTGCTTGAGCCCAGGAGTTTGAGGTTGCTGTGAGCTAGGCTGACGCCACAGTACTGTAGCCTGGGCAACAAAGTGAGACTCTGCCTCAAAAATAAATAAATAAATAAATAAATGAGGAAACACTGTTTAACTGAAGGCAAAAGTGTGTAGTAATAAGAGGCTTAAGACCTATGTTAGAGGTTAGATTAGGTTCATTCCAACTCTCTTCTAATTTTCTATGTTACTTTAGGCCCTAAAGTGAATATCCTGAAACATAATTTCTAATAGCAAAGTTGCTATTAAAACATTAAAGGGGGGCATCTTGAGAAATTAAACATTTCTGTGAAGAAGAGCTAATATTACTCTCCTCATTTCTGAACCACAGTTTTAGCTATGTTTTTATGACTTGACAGATTTCCAAATGTAGAAATGAATTCCTTGACACAGATGTAAACTTAGACTCATGCAAGGCCAGTCAGTCACCTACATGATGATGAGCCATCTTACAGGCAACCTAAATTGGGTATCTCAAGGGCAAGGTATCAGGGCTTATGCTACCAGGCCAGGTGCAGGAGATGACATGCAAATTCAGGAGAGGGTGCCGGAGCCCTGAGGCTGTGGAGAGTTTTTTGCTAAGCATTGCATTTTCGCCTCCGTTTTTTGTTTAAACTTCCTTATCTTCCACCTTGTATTTAGAATGGCTCCAAATTCTTTCTTCAACAGGTAGAAATGTTGTTGGTGAACTTTTTTATACTTAATAGTTGTCCATATTTTGGGAGTGCACATGATATTTTGATACATGCATACAATGTGTAAGGATCAAACCAGGGCAGTCGGGACATCTATCACTCCAAACATTCACCTCTTCTTTTTTTGTTTTTGTTTTTTTGTGTAATTTTTTTTTTTTTTTTTTTGGAGACAGGGTTTTTCTCTCTTGCCTAGGCTAGAGTGTAGTGGCATCATCAGTTCAGTGCAACCTCAGACTCCCGGGATGAAGCAATCCTCCCACCTCAGCCTCCTGAGTAGTTGGGAGTATAGGCACACTACCATGCCTGGATAATTTTTCTATTTTTTGTAGAGACAAGGTCTTGCTATTGCTCAGGCTGGTCTTGAACTCCTGGCCTCAAGTGATCCTCCCACCTTAGCCTCCCAGAGTGCTAGGATTACAGGTGTGCACCACCATGCCTGTCTTCACCCCTTCTTTATGTTGGGAACATTCCCATTTCTCTCTTCTAGCAATTTTGAACTATAATGACACATTCTTAACTACAGACACCCTACTGTACTATCGAACACTAGATCTTATTCCATCTAACTGTATTTTTGTATCCATTTAACACACACACATAAAGCAAGCCAGTGCATCATACAGAAGTAACATACGCATATAACTGGATAAATTCCTTTGTTTCTACCTCTTCATGTTTATGCCTTTTGATGCTGAAGGAAGTCCCATCCAGGGAGATTGCATGCGGCCTTAGTCATTGGCCAAGATAGTTCGCTTTTCAGGAGTCTGCTTGAAGGAAGTGTAGTTTTGTTTTGGGAGGTCTGAAATGTTTCAGATTTGCCTTCTTTTTTTTTTGTAAAGGAGACATATGGGTTTTCTTCACGCGAAAATCACATCAGATGTGATCCTTACTCCTAAGATCAAGAACGACAGTTTACTTGCAAGATACTTTTTTCTTTTGTACCTACCCCAGAATGACTTCTCAGGATCTCTCATAGAACGAAGCAGTTTCCTTAGGAATTGAAGCAGAGAAAAAGAGAAACTTAATAGAAATTGTATATTACCTCCTTAGGCTGTTAACCAAAGTTTGTTTCTGAGTGGTGACATGCAGTCATTCAGAAGAACCTCTTAGGGGCGTGAATGTAGCAATCTTCACTGAAGCAACAAAGTGCACTTTAGTTTTGGAGGTCTTCTCTCTTTTAATCCTCTTCCTAGTAAGGTTATGGAATTCATTTGGATAGCCCCTGAGCCACAGGGCTCAGGAAGACCTGTATTTTATCATTGTGAATATTTATTGAGGCTACATACCAGGTCCACAAAGAGACTTTTGTTGTAATTGTGGAAGTTAGGAGCAGCACCTGTCTTTATGGTGGCCACCAGATACCAATCACATGCGTTTTGATGGGCTGCCTCTCCCGGTTAGGATCATGTTTTAGCTAGTAGGTTTAGCGTCTTTTTAAAAATTCTCCTTAAAAGCTAAGGAGATTTCAGCCCTACAATGAATCTATTTCAGCAAGTATACCAGAATATATTTTGAAACTCACACATCTTGCCTGCTAACTAATCTCAGAATCTAGTTCAGCTATTAAAACAGACTGTTTACCCTATTACCTATGCAACATATTGTACCAATTTTATCTTGGTCTCCAAAGGCCCCACACCTACCCCTTGAAGCCTCTAATCTTTGGCCCCTGGTGCAAACTGATCCCCGGGAACATCTGCCAGGCACGTGAGCTGTTCTGAGCAGGGCAGGGTTTTTCAGATCAGACCAGTCAGTTAGTGTTCAGGGGCTGGCACTACGTGTGTTGTACTGCCTTTGTGCTGTTCTCTTGCTTTGATTCATTTGACATTCTTTATTCAGCATCTTCCATCCCAGGCTTTGGGCTGGACACTGGGGAACAAAGAGGAATAAATCCCATGCCCAGCCCTGGGAAGCTCCTAGTCTACTGCCGAGGACATAACAGAAACAGGTCATTATGGCTCAGTGTAGGAATTGCCCAGCGGAGGTTCAGAGTCCTGGGAACACAGAGAACAGTCTCCTCGGCCGCAGCCTTGAGCCTTCAGGCAGGGGTACCGCTGAAGGGTTTGAGGATGGGAGTGCCGTCGGCAGACTGGAAAGGCTCCTCTACGGAGGCAGAGTCGGGGAGAGATGGAGCCCAGGAGGACTAGAAGCCAGGAGACTAGTTAGAAACCAATAGAGCAATTCAGTCCAGAGATCTTGAGAGCTGAATCTATGGCAGAGATGGGGACAATGGCAGTAGAGTTTGACAGTAATGAACAGGGAGTACCTTACCCAATGTACTTCGCCTGCTCGGCATTCCAGTGTTCAACACAGTATTCGTCAGCTACCGCTTCTTTCGTTGCCATCAATTATTGTGTTTGTGTGCGCATGTTCATGTGTTTGTTTTAATCTAATACTTTTCCTCCCCCGTGGAGCTAAGGAATACTTGATTTATAAATGTGACCTCAGCAATCTTTGTTATTTACCCGAGCACAAATGACTTGTTTTGATCAAGAAAATAAGTTACCATGTGCAAAGCTTTGAGATGCACACTTTGCACCCACATGCAGAGAGGGAACTTAAATCTTAAGTTAACTAAAATTTAAAAATCTGTACATAATGTAAGTTGCATTCTAGAACAAGGGCATTTTCCGTTTCAGACCCTGAGCTCTGAAGTTCCCATTGGTTTGCCTCTGTCTATACCTGCACTTCCAGAGATCTTTATGCCTGTCATTTAGTTCCTGTGAAAGTTGCTGGGGCTGTGTGCCTTCCTTCGGAGGCACCGACAGACTGATCTTTAGGATCTCAGGAGCTGAAGACAGGAGCTGAGGGTGATAAAGACATTTCTCTTGATCAGCAGCAAGTTGATAGGCACAAGTAGTAGATACAGCTAATAACCAACTCCCCATCCTTGTTGCCCCAATCTCAGAAATCAACTGAGTGAGCAGATACAGTTGTGTGCAATGCCATTTTCATGCAAGTCTGTGTTTATTTCTATTTTTGTAACATCACGAAGAGACATACAAGTTGGTCACTTTCCCAGCTTTAAGCACAGCTTATTTTTCTAACCAGCATCAGGACAGGGTGGCCAGCATATTCTCGCCCCTGCTGTCCCTGCTGTGTCTAAGTGTGACCACATTTATAGCTCAGAGGGACTTGGAGACAGACCACTGAAACTCAGAGTTGCCCCGCAGGATGTAGGGGTCCAGTGAGGGAACAGCCAGTCAGAGGGCAAAACCACCTGCTGTTGCAATGCCCAGGAGGAATGGGGGTGAGGGAGTGGCCTTCGGGCCTGGGTCTCAGTAATGAGGCAGGCTGTGCATGCTTACTAGTACAAATGCGGAGGACATGCAGTCATGGGTGTGTGTACTTTTAGCTATCTGTATAAAATCAATTTCCATAGTGATCAGACATGCAGAAGAGTAATTTCCTATAAGTCCTGGGTTCTGGCTAAGTGGAAATGCTTCTGCTTGTCTGTTGTGATTATTTAAGCCACATGATCTTAGAGGGGAAAAATTCACCATTGGCTTAGACTCATAGCATCTTGGTTTGAAAAAGTCAACTTTTTGCTTTACCACTGCATATATCCAAACCCAGACCTAAAAATTCACCTGTACTGTCATCTCAATAATTATGATCAAAACACCAAAAACTACATGCATGTTATCTTTTTTCCTAAAACACGTAGTCTGTTTCTTCCCTGAAAATTAAACATTTTATTCTGGTTTCTCATAATTTCTTTGGGAGGTGAAGTCACATACATATAGTACCTTTTAAAAATATTTTTTAGGAACCGAAGTTAATGCTTGATGACCCCTTGGTCATGCTTCCTCGCCTCCATTCTTTGCAGTGTCATTCTGCAGCCATGCTTCTGAGCCTCCTTGATGCAGCCAAGGCCCAGTGGCAGGGACTTCACGATCCTCATGGCACACGCTGTTTCCTTCCTCCCTCATTCTGGGGGCCAGCTCAGCTGCACTGAACAGTGTGTGCACACCATGATGCTGGGAATCCTGCTCTCTTTGCCCGGATGAGCTTCCCCTCCATTTCTGTCGGCCCTGCCCCACCAGAACACAGTTCAAGCCTGGCTTCCTCAAGTAGCCTCTCCTGATGCACCTCTCGTTGTCCTCCATTGCCTGTCCAACCTGCAGCGGTGGCTCCTCCTCCACACCCAAAGAATCACCATCTCTACAAGCACTGGTAGCATTCTGCCTGGTGTCTGTCACTTGTCCCAAAGGACAGTTGCTCCCTGGGTTTTCCCATGTCAGCCTTCCTGTGCCCAGGGCGCATCCACCAAACGTTGGCCACCTGGAGAAGTCTGCCTGTTCTTCAGTCTTCTCTGGTGCAGACTTTGGGCCTCACTCAGTAACATTCCAGAACTCAGCTACCCAGCCCCTCCTCCCTGACCCACCTAGAGAAGTGTCTTTGAGCACAAATTCCCCACAGGAAATTTATGTCCGCGTCCTCGTACTCCCTCCTCCATGCTGATGCACAACAGCAGTTCACCATCTCTTGTGAAATCTTTCAAAAATGGCAGTTAAGTCACTTCTCAGACTTGTCTTCTTTAGGAGATCTGATCCCGGTTCCTTGCCTTCCCTCGTGGATATGGCGTGCTTTCCCTTTTTGGTCGTCACGACTGCTCTTCCTAAATCCTTCCTGCGGTCTGCGTCATCTTCTCCAGAGTCTCACTGGGAAAGGCAAAGACCCGTTTCCCCGGCACAGTTCCAAAGCCCGCCTCTCACTCTGCCTTTCCTGAGGGTCCTCGAGGGATGGGAAGCAGGAGCTTTGGCCCCAGGCTTCCAGGCACAGAGAGGAATGTCCCTCCCTGGCTGAAAAGGAAGCCAGTGAAGGACAGTTTCCTCCCTGTGCCCAAGGAAACTCGCAGTCGGTTTATTTTCCACTGCCCCAGCTCCAGCCCAGATCATCCATCAGGCGTCAGACCCTCACCAGGAGTGCACGACCCAGATCCTCCCGTGGCATGCACAGTCCACGGTAGGGTTTGTGCTCCTGTGAGAGTCCAGTGTCGCCACTGATCTGACAGGAGGCAGAGCCTGCGTGGTGATGCCAGTTATGGGGAGTGGCCGCAGATACAGATGAAGCCTGGCTCACCCACCCACCACCCACCTCCTGCCCCACAGCCCAGCCCCCAACAGGCCACGGACTGGCACTGATCAGCAGCCCTGGGGTTGGAGGCGGCAGCTCTAAGTGGTCAGTCAGCCCCACTTTCCTCCTCCTGGTAGATCAGTAGTGCCCATTAAGGGCATCTCCCACCCTTCTCCCAAGTAAATCAAGCTTGGGAAAGAACAGAGAACTTGCTGAAGGTGCTCTGATAGCTGCTTTCTCTCTTCAGGTCCCCTGCACCTCCACCACACATGCCCACATCCATGCACACGCACGAGTGTGCACACACACGCTTCCACACTCTCACAGCCTACAGGGGGGCCTTGGCTATTCGCACTGAGATTAACGCTGTTAAATGACAACTAAGAAGTAGAGGGAAGGCCCAGTGATGGTGGCACCGGCCTTCCCTATGAGGCGTGTCCAGTAATCCCACTGCCTCTGGGAACCGGGAGCACCTAGAGAGGTAGTCGTCTTCCCTCTGTCCACTTCTGTCCTCTTTCCTTCTGCCTCATCCCACAGAGGGCATCATCTTTCACGTGAATTCAAACCACTTTCTCGGAATAAGCCCTGATTTCCTTCCCTGTACTTTTTCTGTTTTGAAATAGCAGCAGTTGCCTCCTTAAGTAGTTTTTGCTTTTGTCCTGGCCAAAGAAGACAAAGTACATCAGTGACCAGTGGGAGGAAGAAAAGGAAGAGAAAAATGAGTCATTTCCCTTGTTCCCTAACCCCACCCAAGCCAACTCCTCTCTCCCCTCCTTTCTCACCGCGGCCCACACCACCTACAGGTCAGGGGCGCACTTGGCCTTCCGTATCTTAACATTGCACATAACACTGTATTTCTGCACAACTTCTACAGTTGCAAAGGGGAGAGAGATGGTAAGTGTATGTAGTTACATAAGTGTATATATAATGTAGTATATAATTTATAAAAATTTAAAAGATGCAGAGCTTAACAACTTGGAAATATCTTACTGGTAAAGGTAAATAATTACATTAAAAAGGAATAATTTTTATTGAGTCTGCAGTGAAATTATGTGTTTTCATTCATTCAAATAAAAAATATCTACTAGGATCCTCTTTTATACCAGGAACTATTCTAAGAGAGCTTTGATCCAGTGAGGAAACAGTAAGAGTGCGGTAATCAAGTAACTCTCAGTCACAAGCTGTGATAGATGCCGTGACGCAGAGTACAGGGAGTGGGATGGGTATTAGGTACACGGGGGAGGCCTTGCTTCAGTCTGGGAGGAAGTTGAGAAGATCTCTATGTAAGCGGAGATTCCAGGCATGGGGAGTTATCTAGAAGGGGGTGGAGGATGGGTTTGCTTTAAACTGCATTAACCAAGGAAGACAGGAAGACACCACCTAAAGACTGTTGACCCTCAAAATTTCGGATACTTGGTAATTTTAAGGAGTAGTCAAGTCAGCAGGGCATGAAAGCAAAAGAATTTCAACTGACTCGAGATCAGACATAACAACCAATCTTAATACTTCAACTAAAGCAGAATGTGGCCTGCTTGAAAACAGACAAGGGAAGCCACACTGATTCCATGTATCTGAGCCTCTCTGTGGTCTCATGGTTTGTTTTTGTTTTTTTTGGCGGGGGTGGGGGGTTGGGGGGTGGGTTGACTCATTGTAGCCCCTTGTTACTATCAAGTACAAATTTCGTGTTGATTGATGCACTAAATGCTACAATGTTCAGATTCCACTTTGCTTCACCACTCTCCAGGAAGCAGTCATGCCTGATGTTTGTCCTATAAGTACGCCTTATTCTCCCTAAATTGGCTTTCCCAACCAAAAACTTGCTTTCAAAGCATTAAAAGCACCTGTTCTGGTGTGCCTGTGGTTCTTTGGGTCCATCGTGCATATTGTCACTGATGTTATTGATGAAGCTTCTCTTCTGAAGCTATGCTGATGTGCCTGGGTTCCCTTCCGCACTTGAACCCAGGAGAGCGTTGCCCTTTCTCCAAAAAACAGCTACAGCTGTGACGTGCCCACGTAGTCAGAAGTATTCTGTGTAACAAGTGCTCTGTAGCTTTTTAATCCTTTACTTTTTGTTGTTTTATTTCTACAGGCTTGACTTGTCTGTTGAAAACATCTTCCAAGACTGGCTTGAGAGTTCCGGAATACCAAAGGTACACTCAAAATAATGCTTTAGGAGAGTGTGTGGAGAATAGTAAGGTTTGCTACTTGGCGTGTATCAGTCGTGACAATGAGCACTGAATATATGCATATAAAAGTAGTTATCGTACTGAGGTGGAGTATCCCTAAGTCAGGAAAATACTAATCTTCCCACGCCATTTCGGCCTGACATCAAGGGGTGTGCCTCTGGCCACCGTTGCAAGCGACTGTGGTGCTCCAGGTGGACACGACAGCAGCCTCTGAGCTGTGTTACATGAGGTCTCGCAAAGGGTGGTGTGTGTTTTGGGTGGAGTCTCCAGGCAACAGTTTAATGCCCCCACGGGGGAGCAGCTGGCCTTCCTCCCCACGTTTAGGGTGTAGCCAGACAGGCGAGCCGGTTTGCTCTGGCTTTCCTCTGGCCCAAGGTACCCATGGCTCTGTTCCTTCTTTCCCCGGCCTGCCTGCCCTGCACAGCCTCCCTTGCTCTGCCGCAGGTTCCCGCCTCAGGCTGGCCTCCTCACCTGGATGACCTGTTTAGATTTGTTTCTCTGTCGTAGGCACCTGGGCTCACCCCTACCCGAGATTTTGTTCTTTCTTCCATTTCGGTCCATGGGCAACTCTAAGGGAGAAACTTTTCCCTGGGCAGCCCTAGCTTCGTGGGAATCGCCTGGCCTGGAGCCTCCTCTTCCCTTCCACTCACCCCAGGTCCTTTGCCTTCCAAAGCCTATCGGACAGCCCAGGCCCCCTCACCAACTTGAATGCTGACCTTAGCAAGAGCCTAGGACCTCAGAAGTCTGAGGGTGACATCCCAGATGGGTGGTTAGAGGACGCTGGCAGTCTGGGGTTTTCCCAGCCTGCAACCATCAGAGCAGCTGCAGATGGGGCCTGGCCCATTGTAGTGGGCCGTGGGGTCTGGGGCAGACCCCCGTGGCAGTGAGAAACTCTGCCCTGGGCCCAGGCAAGCAGCCCTTCAGCCTGCTTGTTTCTGGTTTCATGGCTGGTTACATGAGTTTCCCCTTGGGGGTGTGCGAATGTCAGTGAATGTCTGTGAACCATGAAATAAAGGTGAGGGGCGGGGGTGGGGGGCTGTTCTCTGTTACCTTTCCACCCCTCCACTTGCATCTTTGTCCTTCACCACACGGGGGGCGGGGGGATGTCTGCCACAAGCCACCACTAGCTCGTTCCTGAAAAAGGACGTTTGGCCTTAGGTTCAGGAAGGCGTGTCACCTGTTAAAAGTTGTTTGTTTGGCCCAATCCTTCTGGGAACAAAAAATAATAAAATGAAATAGGCGTGGGGCCAGGCAGCCCTTGGTTCTGGGAGGCAGCGCTTTCCACTCACATATATGACAATGAGGTCCTGTGGTTTCTAAGAAGGTGACTTCCAGACCAGACCACTCACTGAGTACAGAAATGCAGGGAAAACAAGTTAAGGTTTGTGTGGTTGTGAGCAGGCAAGCCTTGCCCTTCCATTTTTCAGATGGGGATGCAGGGGGCGGTGCGCTCTCCAAACCCTTTTGCCTCTTGTTCCTGAGCCAAGCTGTCACAAGGCTCCCAGACATTCTTAGTGTGGCCTGAAGCAGGGAAGAGTCCGGGGCTCAGAGAGCCCGCTCCTGAATTTCCTGGCCTGGAACAAGAAGGCTGCTGTTTGCAGCACTCTGCCCCGAGGGAAGGGAAAAGAAAGAGTCCTTAATCCCTCCCCAGAAGCAGGCGCTCCCCACTCGGGTTGTGGTGCTGGGGCTGACCCTCTCACTGCCAGGGCCATGTAATTTCCCCTGAAGAGGAGGAGGCTTTGCCACCAGCAGGAGGCTTTTGCTTTTCATTAAAAGGGGGAGGGGTATGTGGAAGAGAGAGATTTGCCTCTGAGTTGTACATTTTTTCCAAAGGTCTAGTTGCATTAGTGACAGCTTATAGTGTAGACAAGAATCTCTGCTATAAACTGACAAAACCTGCTGTCAAAACAGCCAGGTGCAATGAGGCCAACCAGCTATAAATTGTCTTTAAGACCCAACTGGTATTTCCTTGGGTGCTTAGCGGTTCGGTAAAAACAACAGCGTCAGACAGAAAAAGGCCCTGATTTAGTGCACATCTTTCCATCGGTGAATGATCAGATGGCATCTTTTCATCCCTTCCGCCCATTTTCTGCCATTATTTATATGGATGATGATAATTTACCTGCTCTCAGCCCCTTGCACACTCCTTGAGAGTTTCTTCTTGTTTCCACATCAGTGAAAGGCTCTGCGAGGGCCTGAGACCCTCTGGTTGCAGGAGCCTCACAGTGAATGGGACACCTTGTTCTTTGTTCCCGTCACTGCAATATAAAGTTACCAGTGCACTTGCCCCGGAGTGACAACCAGAGCACTGAAATTGCTCCGATGCTCTTTGTTCTTGTTAAAAATTTCTGTCCACCAGCAATTGAAGTCATTCATGACAAAAGAGTCACGTTCTACTGGTGAAGTTTTCATTCCACAGGTTACAGAGGCTTTTTGTCTTCTCTCAGGAAAGCTTGCCTTGCGTCTGGCCTCGATTTTCCTTTTTGGCCACATTGAATGGAAATCATTAAAAAAAAAAAGTAGAAATAGCCTCAGCAGCAATAAAAGTAAGCATGAACCCCAAAGAAGCAAAAGAAATTGGATCTAAACCTCTTTAAAGAACATCCTAACCCTATAACCTTTGGCCTTGCAAAGAAATTTAAAATTGATTGTACCATCAGTATTATATTAGTAGATTATTTCTTTTATGACATTTTCTGGTTATAGAAGTATTACACATATACGTGGAATACAAAAAAAATTTATAAATAAGAAAATAAAAATGACCCAGAGACAATTTTTGATGTACATCCTTTCATTGTTCTGGGTGTATAAATACATATTACCCTTGTCTTTCTCTCCCTTTTTAAAAGTAAAATAAGTTCTCTATAGCACATTCAAACAATGGCAAAATATAAAATGTAAAAGCTCTCACTCCCGAGAGATAACCTGTGCGTGATAACAGCATGGCGTGTGTCCACCCACACGTTTTCTGTGCTCAACAGCAGGTAGGTGTGTATCCTTTTGAAATAAAATTGGAATCCTATCTTCCAAGCTTAAAATTTTCATTTAAGAATGTATCTTGAGTAGTTTCCCACATTGCTTAATATAATTGAAGAGCAATAATTTTTAACAGCTGCATTGCTTCCTAATGAATAGTACCATAATTGACTTTCTTCAGCCTGTCCACTGTTGGACCAGTATACTGTACTTCGTTTCTCAGAAAGTTGTACATTCTGGTAATTTGGCAGCTCTAGAAATAGATTTTGATTTCTTTTCATGTCTGCCCAAATAAAGGTTCCCCTCTATCCCATATGCACATATACTCCAATCTTCTTTTAAAACGTTTATATGCAAATACACTAGAAGTAACTTTTCTCCATCCAGCCTTTCTTCTATCCTCCTTATTTTAGTATGCTCCTGCCTTTCTTTGATTTCCTCTCTACATTGGCAAATACTAGATCCTTACATACACACTTATTAAATTTCTGATTTTCTTTCTTTCCTAGCACCTCCACCAGTTTTTAAATTATATTTTGCTTGAACAAAATAATATTTTGCTAGTGCAGCAGCTAATTGGTCTTTTAGCTGCCAGGCTTGTCCCCTTCCCATCCATCATTTACATCAAGGCCAAGTGAATCTTCCCAAGACATGGCTCAGATCCATTCTTCTCAACAGAAACTCTTTCCCCACTGACGATGTATTTAGGGCAAACTCCTTGGCTTGCTGTTTGAGGCTATTAGCAGTGCTGTCTGAAGCTACTCTTTTTAACCTCATTTCCCACCATGCTGGGGATATGCCCAACCATAACTGCCAGTCCACAAATGTTTGTGAGCTTTACCATCAGTCTTGCTTTGCACTATGCCCTTTTCTCTCCTTGGAATGCTTTCCTTTCTGTAATTCATACCATCCCCTACCTCCCACCCCCCAAAACAAGGATTATGCCTGACTTATGTTTGCAGTAACTGTTGTGACACTCATTTGTTTTGCGCCTTGCACATAGTAGATGCTCAGTGGCTTGCCATCCCATACCGTAGCCACATGTGGTTCTTAGCACCTGAAATATATCTAGTGCACCTGAGGAGCTGAATTTTTAGTCTTAATTAAATTTAAAATCTCATAACTTAGTTATTGTTTGGAACAACTTGGGTATGTGAATGAATCTACCCTTTCTTTTTATTTTAATTTTTATTTTATGTTTATTTTTTTTTATTCTTTATTTTTATTTTTTTATTTTGGCATATTATGGGGGTACAGATTTTAAGGTTTCAATAAATGCCATTTCCCTCCCCCACAAGTCTGAGTCTCCATCATGAACATCCCCAGATGGTGCACATCTCACTGTTATGTATTATATACCGCGCCCCTCCTCCACCTGCCCTACCTATTACTGTAGTACCTATGGACACTTAGGTGCTGTTCAGTTAATACCAATTTGCTGTGAGTATATGTGGTGCTTGTTTTTCCATTCTTGGAAACTTCACTTAATAGTATGGGTTCCAGCTCTAACAGGAAAATATAAGATGTGCTATGTCACCATGTTTTTAGAGCTGAAAGTACTCCATTATACATATACACATTTTATTAATCCATTTTGGATTGATGGGCACTTTGGCTGTTTCACAGCCTTGCAATTATGAATTGTGCTGCTATAAACATTCAAGTGCAGGTGCTTTTTTGTAGAGTGTCATTAGATCTTTTGGGTGATGCCCAGCAATGGATTGCTGGATCAAATGGTAGATTCACTTGTATCGCTTTAAGGTATCTCCATATTGCTTTCCACAGAGGTTGAACTAGTTTGCAGTCCCACCAGCAGTGAGGAGTGTTCCTCTCTCTCCGCATCCATGCCAGCATTTATTGTTTGGACTTTTGATAAAAGGCCATTCTCACTGGAGTTAAGTGGTATTCTATTGTGGTTTTGATTTCATTTCCCTGATGATTAGGATGTTGAGCATTTTTTCATGTTTGTTGGCCATTCTTCTGTC